TCCAGCCCAGGCATCTCCTCCAGCCCAGGGCCCTGCCTTGTCCACCGGGCACCCACTCAGCCAGCTCCTCCAGCCCGGGGCCCTGCCTTGTCCACCGGGCACCCACTCAGCCAGCTCCTCCAGCCCGGGGCCCCGCCTTGTCCACCGGGCACCTACTCAGCCAGCTCCTCCAGCCCCGGGCCCTGCCTTGTCCACCGGGCACCCATTCAGCCAGGACAGGGCCCAGGGCTGGGCTGGTGGAAGCCTGGAGTACCATGCTGTGCTGCCCTGAGCCAGGTGCTTCCCTCTCTGAGCCGCCACACCCCTGTGTGATCCTAGGGGCCCAGCACAAGGTAGAGGGTCAGAAGGTAGGGGAAGGGGCATAAGCAAGGAACTTCTGCTCCAGACAGAGTCTGCTCCAGACAGAGGCCTGGGCTTGTCCCCGTGCTGGGCTTCTCCCTGTGCCGGGTTTCCTGGTTCAGGGAGCAGCAGGCAAGACTAAGGGGGTGGGGCGGTGGTTTTCCCTGCCCCAGGCCCCTTCATCGCCTCTCCCAGGTGTTATTTCTGCTGCCAACACCCTGATGGTACCAACCAGGCCCAGGGCCCCAGCTCCAGGGACTGAGTGGGAGGGGTGGAGTGGAGAGGGCCCAGGCTCTAGAGAATAGAGGAGGGAGGAGAGGGGAAAGGCTGTGGTGATAGTGAGAAGTGCTTGAGACCCCACCAGGTTCTGCCCCACTCAGGGGGCATCCCGGCACCTGCCTGGCACTCTCTGACCCTCATTTCCTCACCAGTGAACAAGCACTGGGCAGGGACTGTCATGAGCGGCCACAATGGCTCCTCTCCCCATTCCATCCCCTGGCTCTGAGGCTCTAGTGAGGTCACTGCCTACAAGAAGCCCTCCCTGACTGCACCGTCTCCATAAGCTCAGCTGTCCAAGAGCTCCTGGCGTCAGAATCACCCACTGTCTCCTGAGAGTAACCTGTGGGTAGGGCTGCTCTTCCTGCTTTTGCTAGGACCACCCGGGATGGGCGGCTCATCCTCGTGGGCAGCCCTGCCAGGTCAGAGGCCCTCCTCCCACAGAATTGGAAACCCGCTTCGGCTTCCATGCCTGGCAGGGACGCGGCCACAGCGACGTCTGAGGTGTCCCACGGGGGCGAGCCAGGTGTGCAGGGCCCTCCTCCAGCCCCAGATGTGGGGAGCCCACTCCCCTGTGGCCCCACACTCGGACCCCACTCTCAGGCCACCTGACATCCTGGACCCTCCAGCACCACCGGGCCCAACAGGAATTCCAAACCTGTTCTTCCAGCAGCTCTCATGCCCCTGGCCACAGTGACTCACCCCTCCCCACCTGCCATGCCCACTGAGTCACCACCCTGTCACCAAGCCCTGAGCTCTGCTTCCCAAGGCCCCTGGAAGTACCTTCCCCAAAGCTGCCCATGCCTCTCGCTGTGCCCCATGGACACAGGGCCTTGGAGCTGGAGGAAACCGCCTCCCTCTGGGTGTGGGCGTGGACCTCTGGGTCACCTGCTTTGTCAAATGAGACTCCACACGTCCCCATCAAGCCCCAGCCAGGACCAGACACCAGAGGCAAATGTGGGGCTGCCCCAGGGGGCTCCTGCCTGCACCCCTCCTGGTTTCCAAAGGCACCACCAGACACCCCCTCCTCTAGGTGGATCCTCCAGGCCCTGGCACTGCGTCAGGGAGAGTCCGGCCAGGAGCATTCTCAGGAGACATTTGCTGGGATCCCTGGCATCCGTGACGTGGGGCTTAGCAAGGGAGAGATGCCGGGAGGAAGGGCCAGAGGGTCTGTCTCAAGCCCAGGCCTGACTAGCCCCGGTACCCATGGTGTCCCCAAGAGCCTCAGCCCAGCCCAGGACCACCCTCCCAGGAACCGGCCCTGCCCTGCCCTGGCCCTGTTGTTGTTGGTCCATCAGCCATGTGGCCGTGGCAGAGGCTGGGCCCAAGGCTGACCTCCTTCTGTGCCCCCGCTCCCACTCACCATCCGCCTGGCCAGGGCAGGGGCAAAGCACGTCTATGGGTCCCTCCACACAACCAGGTGGGTGCTGCCCAGCACAGGCGAGCGGCAGAGCGGGCTGGGCCGAGCAGGTGGATGGGGGCCCCGAGAGGTGGGCTCCTGTGCTAGGTGATGGGTGCTCAGGACCCCTCTCCACGGAAAGAAAGTCCCTCCTGTGAGAGTAAAGAGGGTGAAGGTGGGGACTGGCCTCCACTCAACGGGCAGCAGACCGAGAACCTGCTTTGAGGCCCTGGGTGCTGGGGCCCAGCCCCAAGGAGTTCACGGTCTTGGAGAGACTGGAGCCAGGACACCTAGAGAAATAGTTGCAAAGTAGCCAGGATGGCGCTGCCCCCAACGTAGCAGGAGCGGCCCGGAGAGTGGGGGAAGGAATCCCACGGGGAGGGGTCCTGGGGCCCTGGAGGGTGGGAGGCAGGGCTGGTGGAGACCAGGAGGGCTCAGTCTCTCCCTGCGCAACGCAGGATGGAGTTGCTGCCTCCACAGCCCAGGCCTTCCACCCACAGGGCTCCCCGGGCAACTTTGAGTGCCAGGTCCTCACAGTCCTCACCCTGTCCAGTGCTTACCTCTCTGCTGCCCCAGCTGCCCTCCCTGCCTCGGGGTGGCCTCTCCCTCTGCCTCACACACCCCATCAGCCCACAGCTGCCCCGAGCCCCCGCAGCTCAAGGACCTTCCGCGTCCCAGGCAGCAACCCTGAGCCCAGAGCCAGAAGGGTAGGACCAGCACCTGCTCTTCCTACCTCCCCGGCCCTGGGCACCCACAGGCACCCACAGGGCGCCTGGTACAGGCTGCAACTCTATTGAGGGAACTATGGGGGGAATGCAGGGACAAAGACACGGGATGGTGATGGTGGGGAGTGGGGGGTGGGGTAGCGGGTGGCAGGTCAGAAACAAAGTGACCCAGGATCAGACGGCAGCACGAGAACAAGACCCACAGAGACAGAGAAGTGAAAGTGGGAGAGACGGAGGCGCAGCAGCTGCAACAGCAGGGCCAGGAAGCCACTGGGCCCCGTTGCGGAGGGCAGACCTCTGCCTGGGGGGCCGCAGGGGCAGCGACCAGGGACAGCCAGGCTGGTGGGCGTGGGCCAGGCAGGGTGGGGCAGGTTCCCATCCTGGGCTGATGCTTGCACAGAGCCCTGCGGAATGCCGCTGGCTGGCGGACTGCCCACCCCCGCCCAGCCCGTGCCTATAAGGCCTCCGCAGTGCAGGGGCCCCCACTGCTCCCAGACGACACCAGAGATGAGGACAGTCCTGCTGCTCCTCGCCATCCTGGCCGTGGCTACGGGGCCAGGTGAGGGGCTGGGCCAAGGGGACGGGCGGGTGGGCGGCTCTGGCCCGTGTGGTCACCAAATACTAGGAGCCTGGAGCTGATGACCTCTAGGCACAGAGAACCCCGACACTGGGCGCCAGACTCTTCAAATTTAAAACAACACGGAGCCCCAATCTTAAGCAGTGTCAGATTTACAATGTTTCAGAATCTGAGGATGTCAGAATTGATTCCTGGAGTCACAGACCCCGAGAGAGTGGAGCAGGGGATTGTCTTGAGATGCTTCTCACTGGGAGAGCAGCCATCTAGCCCCTGCCACCAGCCCCTCCCGGTCCCCAGGTCTCCCCCAGCATAACCCAGGACAGCCCAAAGGCCACCAAGCCCTTCCCGTTAAAGGCTCAGAGCAGCCAAGCTGGCTGCCCCTGGGGCCTTAGCTCAGTCAGGCCCTCGGAAATATGGCCATCTCCTCCAGGGACAGCCCCTGGGGTGGGGACAACAGCCAGTGTCCTGCAGACTGCTCTTGGCAGTCACAGAGCTCCCTGAGGCCTCGGAGGAAAGGCCTGCAACACACCCTAGACAGGGCCGGGGCAGGACGCCTCTTCCAAGCCGGCCCAGGCCGGAGCACCTGTCCCCTGAGGCTGCATTCAGGACACAAGCCCCACCAGGGCCCAGGGTCCGGAGTTGGGGGCCTAGGGCAAGGGCAGCAGGGCCTCTGTCCGGGAGGGGTCTCTGCGGGTCGGGGAGTGGGCCCTGCTGAGTCACCAGGAGGCCTCTGTTGGGCCCGCTGAGCCCGACTCCCTCCCCGCCAGCCCTTGCCCTGCGCTGCCACGTGTGCACCAGCTCCAGCAACTGCAAGCAGCCTCAGGTCTGCCCGGCCGGCTCTCGCTCCTGCAGGACCATGCACACGGGTGAGCAGCATCTGTCCAGGTTTCCCTGGGACTGGGGGGACCTCCCTGGCTATTGTGGGTGCTGGCTGGGAGGCTGGCAGGGATTGGGGGTCAGAGGCAGCTGCAGGCCTGACCACACTCACCTGTGCCCAGTGGAGCCTCTTAGGGGGAATCTGGTGACGAAGGACTGTGTGGAGTCGTGCACACCCAGCTACACCCTGCAAGGCCAGGTCAGCAGCGGCACCCGCTCCATCCAGTGCTGCCAGGAGGACCTGTGCAATGAGAAGCTGCACAATGCTGCACCGACCCGCACCACCTTCGCCCACAGCCTGGGGCTGGTCCTGGGCCTCCTGGCCCTCGTCTTAGCCCCCCGCCTGTGACCTCCCCCCAGGGAAGGCCCCTCATGCCTTTCCTTCCCTTTCTCTGGGGATTCCACACTCCTCTTCCCCAGCCGCAATGGGTGTGCCAGGAGCCCCAGGCTGAGGGCTTCCCCGAAAGTCTGGGACCAGGTCCAGGTGGGCATGGAGTGCTGATGACTTGGAGTAGGTCCCACAACCCCACAGAGGATGTAGCCCCTCTACAGAGGATGCAGCCCCCAGCCGCATGGAGGGTGGGGACAGAAACCCTGTGGATCCCCGGATTTCACACTCCTTCTGTTTTGTTGCCGTTTATTTTTCTACTCAAATCTCTGCATGGAGATAAATGATTTAAACCAGTGTGGTTTGTCTGTGCTATTCTGGGATGGAGGAGGTCAGGGGTGGGCATCAGGCCACACAGGTCCCCTGAGCCTCCAGCACATGTCCCCTGGGCCAGTCGTGGAGCGATGCCTGAAATGGCACCATCCGTCCCCACCCTGGGAGGGCAGGCTGCTCAGATGCCTCCCCACTGCCCCGGAGGTGGAGGGCGCTCCTGGGGTGAGGCCTGAGTAGGAGCCCAGGGCAGAGGGCCCGCAGGCCCTTCCCGCACACAGCACCTAGGGGAGAAGGGGCCCCTCACTCTTTCACCCTGGGTCGTGTCCCTGAGACCGGGGTTCAGGAGCCTCCAGAGAGGCCGGCTTGGGACATCCCAGGCCCGACCCGAGCTTCGGAGCCAAGTAGGCACTGACTACCTACAGCCATCGCCCAGGGCCAGTCCAGCTGCCCAGGGAAAGTCTAGCCACAGCCTAGGAAAAGTCCCATGGACCCTGTCCATGGGAACCCAGCAGCTCCTTGGCCAGGCCTCACCAGGGTGAAGTTAGACTGGGCGAGGAGCATGACGCAGGGAATACGGGCCAGGTGAGGTTGCCCAGAGGCAGGGAGGGTTCCGTGCCCACTGCCTGGGTTCTGGCTGTATTTCGGGGATGAGGCTGTGACGTGGGGTGAGAAGAGGCCCCCAGCAGATGCCCCAGCAAGGAGCCCTTCTTCTGGAGAGGGCCAGAGCTTCCCGCAGGCTGACCCCACGTCCCCGGCAGGTGAAGTCTCAGGCCTCACCCAGTCAGAGCAGAGCTCTGCCTTCCCCCAGGCCAGCTCCCTCGCAGGCCTGGCCTGGAAATTCCACGGTGACCGAGCCCCCTCTGGCCGCGGCCAGCAGACAGTGGTGTAGCGTGGGTGGCAGCTGGTGAGGGGTCAGTGGTGCTCCCCGGCCCTAGGTGCAGGCACTCAGCTGTTTGTCCAATGCACCATGAGACCAGGAGGTGAATCATGATTTCGGGAGGCCTGCTCTTAACACGTGTCCATCCTGCCTCCCCTGGGATCCAGGGCCACGGTGCAACCCCATCCTGGAGGGCTGCCTGCCCAGCCAAGGCCCTGCAACCCAGGACTGGGTCTGGGTGAGCTTCACTGTCTCCACCTTGGGATCCCCCTTCTCCTCACCCAAGCCCCATCTCCCCAGGGTGGCCAAGGTGGGTCACTCGTTGCCCTGAGAGACCTTAGGCAAAGCACTCCACCTCCAGGCGCCTCCGTTTTCCTCCACTGGGCACTCAGCTGGTGCAGCCAGCACCCCATATGCTGCCTGTGGCTGTAAATGGTGGCCCTGGCCTCCTGCAAACCCTCAGCCCTCCTCCCAGTCACTCCAGGGCTGCAGGCATTTCCTGTTTCCCCTCGTGCATTCCCGGGGCCCCAGACCTCACCTAGTGCTCCTGCCCTCGGCTGGAACCGGGGTGGTGATGGTGCTGGTCTCATGGTGCGTTGAACAAACAACTGAGTGCCTGCACCCAGGGCCGGGGAGTACCACTGACCCCTCACCAGCTGCCACTCCCGCCACCGTCTGCTGGCCGGGGCCGAAGGGGGCTCGGTCACCGTGGAATTTCCAGGCCAGGCCTGCGAGGGAGCTGGCCTGGGGGAAGGCAGACCTCGGCTCTGACTGGGTAAGGCCTGAGACTTCACCTGCTGGGGACGTGGGGTCAGCCTGCGGGAAGCTCTGGCCCTCTCCAGAAGAAGGGCTCCTTGCTGGGGCATCTGCTGGGGCCTCTTCTCACCCCACGTCACAGCCTCATCCCCGAAATACAGCCAGAACCCAGGCAGTGGGCACGGAACCCTCCCTGCCTCTGGGCGACCTCACCTGGCCCATACTCCCTGCGTCACGCTCCCCGCCCCCTCCGGTCTAACTTCACCCTGGTGAGGTCTGGCCAAGGGGGCTGCTGGGTTCCCATGGATGGGGGTCAGCTCAGGCAGCTGGACTTGCACTGGGCGGTGGCTGTGGGTAGTCACCTCCCACATGGCTCCAAGGCTGGGGTTGGGCCTGGGGTGTTCCAAGCCAGCCTCTCTGGAGGCTCTTGAATCCCAGTCTCAGGGACATGACCCAGGGTGAAGGGGTGATGGGGACCCTTCTCCCCTGAGTGCTGGCATGCGGGAGGGGCCTGCAAGTGCTCCTGGAGGCCTGCGTAGGAGCGCCCCCTGGTGGCCACCAGAGAGCCAGTTGCTGGTGCTCCTGCACAGGGAAAATCCGCCCTCGCCCAGGCCAGTGCCACTCATGGCCCCATGTGTGCCCTTTTCCACACCACTCTGGACACGTGGCCTGAGTCCTGCCAAGCCCCCAGGACAGGGTGTGCGAAGGCACCTGGGCATGGGAGTCGGACGGAGAGCAGAGGGGTAGGAGTGCCCAGGGCGCAGACCCACCCATCCCCACTTCCGCGTGGGGAAACTAAGGCTGGGCAAGGGAAAGTGACTCCTGCCACTTCACGGCAGGCTGGCTGCAGGAATCCTCATCCAGGGCCCAGGGAATGGGAGTGCTCTGTGCCCAGTGCTGCCTGGAGGCAGGAGGGAATGCCACCTCCCCCACCACTCCCACCCCTGAAAGTCAGGAAACCAGGGCTGCGGCCACCAAACTCCAGGATGGAAGGAGGAGGCGGTTCTGCTGAGGGATCAGGGAAGACTTCGCAAAGCAGCGGCGGGTATAGGGACAATGGAGCAGCATGGGTGAGGCTGTGTGCGGGCCCTGGGCAAAGGCCCAGAAGTGGAAACCGACCTGCAGGATCCAGAGAGGGCCAGGCTGCCTGTGTGGCTGCTGTGGGGGCTGGGAGCTGGCAGGACTCCAGACCAAGCCCAAGGACAGTCACAGCTCCTAGCCCATCACTGCCCTCTGCCCTGCTCCTCCAAGGGTCCCTAGCTCAGTCTCCCAGCCTCCAGGCTGCTTCTCTGTGACCCTGCTGGACAACTTCTCAACAGTCCTGGACACAACCTGACCCCAGCCCCAGCCAAGACCCTGTCAGGCATCATCAGCCCCACATAGGGCCTGCAACCCTGTAAGTGTGGACAGCACAGCTGGCCAGATGGGGGCCGGCAGCCCTGCCTCGTGTCCCTAGTGCCCCTGAAGGAGGAGCTCCCTCTGCCAGAGCCGAAGCTCAGAACCTGCAGGGAGATGTCTTAGGCACAGGATTGCGGGGTGGGGCCCCAAGGCACAGATGTTGAGGTTCGGCCAGCACCCAGGGGTGGGGCACTGACCCTGTCATGGGGTGCATGGCTGACTCTCCTGGCCCATCACCAGGATGCAATTTTCTCTATGCCTTAAAAATGGAAATGCTAAAAGCAGTCAAAGCACAAAGTCCAGACAGAGGGCAGCTCTCAGGGAGACTGCAAAAGCGACCGACGAGGTCCTCTGACAAGGGATCCCTCCTCCACCTGCTCTGAACATCTACTGTCCTCACCATCCAGTCGGGCCTGAGCTCCCACCAGAAAGGAAGGAGCATTATTCAGTCAGGTCGGGGGGCCCAAGAGCCTCCCTTCATGCCCAGTTTGGGCAGCCAGATCCCACAGAGAGCACGAGGGGCAGCCCCAGCTGCCCACCCCACTGGCCAGCCCCCAACTCAGGAGCAACTAGCTTTGGTTTGCAAGAGTCCTCTCTCTGGTCCTGCCGTCCAAGCTGGACTGGGAGGGTTGCTGAGGTCCTCCTCCTGGAAGTGCATTCTCAGACACTGGTCTCATTGATTTTTCTCTATTTTCTTTTTCTACCGCACTTTTTATTTTTATTTTTTTATTTTTGCTTTTATTTTTGCTATTTTCTTTATTTTGCTTACCTTGGGTTTGATTTGCTTTTTTTGTTCTAGTTTTTGAGGGTGAACATTTAGGTAGTTTTTTTGGAGAACTTCCTTCCCTTCTAAAAGAAGTTTTACTTCTTTTTTTCTTTTAAAAGAAGCATTAGTGCAAAATTTCCCTCCAGGGCCCACTTCAGCTGCATCCTTTGTCTTTGATGAATTGTGTTTGCATTTTCATTCAGTTGGAAATATTTTCTGATTTCCTTTTTGGTTTCTCCTTTGACCTATAAGTTGTCTAGAAATATGTTGTTACTCAGTTTCTAAATATTTGATGATCTTGTAGATATATTTCTGTTATTGATTTCTAATTTAGCTCCATTGTAGTCCACGCAAATAATTTGTATGATTTTAATCCTTATAAATTTACTGAGATTTGTTCTATGGCGCAGAATACAGTCTGCCTTGGAGGACATTATTGGTAAACAAAGGTGTGTTTCTCTTCTGTGAGGTGGAGTGTCCTATAAACATCAAGTTGGCCATGTTGACTGGTAATTTGGTCCACATCTTCTTCCTTACAGACTTTTTGTCTATTTTTATCATTTCTTGAAAGAGGAGTATTGAAATCTCTGTTATTGTGGATTTTCTTTTTCTCCTTTCAGTTCTATCAGATGTTGTTGGTGTTTTGCTTTGTGTATTTTGAAACTTAATTGTTAGATGCATACATATTCAGAATTGCTAAGTCCTCTTCATGAACTGATCAATTTGTCATTTGGTAATGTCCCTCTTTTTAAATTTTTTCTTTCTTTCCGGTAGAGACAGTGTTTTGCTGTTTTGCCCAAGCGGTCTCAAACTCCTGGCCTCAAGCAATCCTCCCAAAGTGCTGGGATTACAGGTGACAGCCACCACACCTGGCCGGTAATGTTCCCTCTTTATTTTTGATTATAGTCTTTGCTTTAAACCTACTTTGACATTGATGTAGTCATGCCTGCTTTCTTTTAATTGCTGTTAGCATAGTATATCTTTCTCCATCTTTTTATTCGTATCTTAATTGTGTTTTTATGTCTGGTCAGTTTCTTGCTGACAGCATATACTTGGCTGTTTCTCTTTTTATCCAATCTGACAACCTCTGTTTTTAACTGAGATGTTTTTGCTTGTTTCTGAGTCAGAGTCTCACTCACTCTGTCACCCAGGCTGGAGTGCAGTGGCACCATCTCAGCTCACTGCAACCTCCGCCTCCCACGTTCAAGCGATTCTCCTGCCTCAGCCTCCCAAGTAGCTGGGATTACAGGCATCCACCATCATGCCCAGCTAATTTTTGTATTTTTTAGTAGAGAGGGAGTTTCACCATGTTGGCCAGGCTGGTCTGGAACTCCTGACTTCAAGTGACCCACCTGCCTCGGCCTTTCAAAGTGTTAGGATGACAGGTTAGGATTACAGGTGTGGGCCACCGTGCTCAGTGAATTGAATTCTAATTGAAGTGTTTAGATGACATAGTGTCATTATTGCTGTGGCTGGGTTTAAATATATATCATCTTGCTATTTGTTTTCTATTTGTCTCATTTTTTCCTTTCTCCTCTTCTGCAGTCTCTGTAACATGTGCTTTTATAAATAATTCTGTGTCATCACCTTTGTTGATTTATTAACTAGAGTGCTTTGACTTTTGCTTTTTTTTTTTTGTCTTTTTTTAGCGACACTTTAGTGTCTTAGTATGCACCTTTGACTTACTAGTCTGACTTCAAGAAATAGGAGACCACTTCACATGCGGTAGAACAGATCTACAACAGCAAACTTCCATTGTCCCTCTCCTGGTCTACTTGTATTACTTTTTTTTAATTTGACACAGGGTCTTGCTCTATCACCCAGGCTTCAGTGCAGTAGTGTGATCACAGCTCACTGCAACCTCCACCTCCTGGGTTCAAGTGATTCTCCCACCTCAGCCTCTTGGATGCAACCACAGGTGTGCACCACCACACCCAGCTAATTTTTTGTATGTTTTTAGAGACGAGGTCTCTCTACGTTGCCCAGCCATGCCTGGTCTAGAACTCCTGGGCTCAAGCGATCCACTTGCCTCAGCCTCCCAAAGTGCTGGGATTACAGGTGTGAGCTGTGGTGCCCAGCCTGTACTACTATTATCATACAATTTACTTCTACTTCTACGTTTGCTACAAATTCCTTAATACATTATTATTTTTGCTTTAGGAAATCAACTACCTTTCAACTTGATTCAAAAATAAGAAAAAAAAATTACCTTCTATTTCCTGTTTCTGGTGTCTTTTATTCCTTTATGTAGATCAGTATTTCTGCCTGAAGAACTTCCTTTAATACAAAGGTCCCCAACCCCCAGGTCACAGACCGGTTAGGAACCACGCCACAAAGCAGGAGGTGAGCAGCTGGCAGGCGGGCAAGGGAAGTTTCATCGTATTAATTCGTCGTGGTCTGAGGCTGAAGCCTGCGACACACTCCGGTTCTGACCTATGCGTTTCTTTCACGCCTCTTATCCACCGGAGTGTGAGCTCCATGGGGTGGGAATATTCTGGAACGTGGGCTGTTTTACTCTCTGCCCTCTCCCCAGCTCCTGGCACAGGAGGGCGCGCATTACCTGTCGGCAAACAGAACCACCAACTGGCCTAGTTTGTTGGGGACCGAAGGATTTCCTGGAACCAGAGCCCGCTTGCCCAGAAGGCATGGGGTATTCTGTACCTCAGGCCCACAAAAATGTTCTAAAGAAAAAAATGAGCTTTAGGGTCGAAGAAAAGGTTTTATTTTTCTTTCTCACATTGGAAAAAAATGAAAACTTTTGGACTCATGAAATTTTATTACATTTTGCCAAAAACAGAACCAATAATGTAAGTATTTAAAGTTATGTAAAGACAATTATTTAATGTTAACATTATGATGGTGAGAGGGACCACGGAGCACGGGGCTGCCTTGCAGGCCTGCCTTCCGGCTTTGCTCCGGGGGACCAGAAACGGGGGCTGAGCGCGGGGGAGGCAGGCGGAGGCCATGGGCAGCGAAGCGGGCGCGCCAAAGGGCACCAAAGGGCACCAGTTCCGGGACTGCTGGGACTGGGCTGGAGGAACGCGGAGCTGGGGCGGCACGGCTGGTGCCAGCCCACGAACGACGCGGCGCGGGCGAGTGGGCGGAGGCGGCTGCGGGGAAGGCTGGGCTGCGGCGGGAGCCGGTGAGGACAGCCTGCGGAGTGCCCGGGCGGAACACGTGGGTCTGAGGGTCGCTAGGGAGTCACTGCGTGGCTGCCCGTGTAGGCGATCCAGATGCCTGGGCTGGCCTCGGGGTCCCAGCGCTGGCCCTGAAAGCCGACGGTCCGGGGGGCGGGGCCGGGGCGGGGCCTGCGGTGAGCTCGGCTTGGCGGGTGCCCAGGAGGCGGGGCCGGGGCGCGGCCGGGGCGGGGCCTGCGGTGAACTGGCGCTGGGCGGGCCGTTCCGGGGGCGGGACTGGGCTGGGCCTGCGGTGAGCATCCAGCGATGCGGCACGGGTGCTGCGGGACGCACAGACACGCGTACAGTTAGACCGAGGCAGGCACCTACCGGCGAGCGGCCGCGGGTGACTCCCAGGCGCGGCGGTACCTCAAGGTGGTGAAGGTCACAGGTGAGGTCACCCTGAGAGTCCCGCTCGCGCCAAGAGCCCTCCCCTCCACCCGGGACCGCAGTGTTTGGGGCGGGGCTCTCCGAGAGGGGGCGGGAAGCTCGCAGCCGCAGGCCTGGCCTCACCCAGGCGTTTGGCTTCCTAGGGTTGGCCTGGGCAAATGTGTCCTGAGAGACGGATTTGTTGTTCTCAGGAAGGCGTAAGTTTAATTTAGCTCATCCCTGCTGGGGAGCTTCTGCGGTGGCCGAGGACTCAGACAACCCTAACCAGGGCTCTGGAGGTTTTCCTGGAAGAGGGGACCCCAAATAGGGACACCCCAGAGCAGAGGGGAGGGGAACAGCGAGAAGAGACCCAGCCCTTGGGCCCAGTTCTGCCGTGGCCAGCCATCCGGCCCCCAGGGCCCTGCGTGGGATGAGGTTGCAGACCACCTCCCAGAGGACCTCTGTACCAACCATCCCCTGGTAAAATCCTTGTTTAGGCCTGGTATTTAAGGCCCCTCTGCCCACCCCCACTCCTCTAGCACTGCCCCTCATCCTCCCCCCATCTCTCCTCCATCCAGCGCTACAGGCTGTTTTGAGCTTTTGCAGGCGCTGGTCTCTGATTGAAATGTCCCGATCTCTTCTCCCTTCTTGTCCCCTCCCAAGTGTCTCCTCCTCCGGGAAGCCTTCCCTGACACCCACTGAGTTGGGTGGCTCCTCTGCCCACTGTCATCCTTGCCCAGGCCCCCCATGGGTCCTTCAGGCCCAGCACTGACCACCTGTCTTTGCCACCTGCTGTGCAGGGCTGCAGCACTGCCAGTAGACCAGGAGCTCCAGGAGGCAGGGCCGGCCCCACGTCCTCTGGGCACCACCCTGAGTTGGATCCTCTGTGCGCCACCCCTGAGTTGGATCCAGGGCTAGCTGCTGTTCTCCTCCCCACTCTCACGCTGCCCTCCTGCCTGCAGCCATGACGCCCCTGCTCGCCCTGTTCCTGGTGGTCCTCATGGGCTTACCTCTGGGTAAGATGGACAAAGGACAGAGGGATGGACAGACCCACGTTGAGGGAAGGTGGGCTGAAAGCAGGGAAGGAGACCAGAATTCCCAGCGACCACCCCTCTTTCTAGCCCCCTGCCCTGGGGAAGGTGATGGGCTGGGGACCTGATGGGCTGGAGGAGGGGCCTCTCATGTTCTGCAACCCCCGTTCCCTTCCCGCCCATCTGCCAGCCCCAGTCCAGGCCTTGGACTGCCATGTGTGTGCCTACAACGGAGACAACTGCTTCAACCCCATGCGCTGCCCGGCTATGGTTGCCTACTGCATGACTACGCGCACCTGTGAGTCTGGGGGCCCTGCGTGGCCCTGCCTGGGGAGGATGAGGGGGAGGTTCTGCCCTGCCTCTGAGCATGTGGAGGTCCTGAGGAAGGAGGCTGTCCTGTCCCCGGATGCTGTCTGGGAGCTCTAAGCTGAGGGGCCCTGCCCTGATGGCCTTGGATGCTGGTGTGGGGCTGACTGGGCCCCCTGCCCCTCTTAGCGGAGCTGGCTCACTGCTCTGCCCCTCTGCAGACTACACCCCCACCAGGATGAAGGTCAGTAAGTCCTGCGTGCCCAGCTGCTTCGAGACTGTGTACGATGGCTACTCCAAGCACGCGTCCACCACCTCCTGTTGCCAGTATGACCTCTGCAACGGCGCCGGCCTTGCCATCCCGGCCACCCTTGCCCTGGCCCCCGTCCTCCTGGCCACCCTCTGGGGTCTGCTCTAAAGCCCCTGAGGCAGACCCACTCAAGAACAAAGCTCTCGAGACACACTGCTGCACCCTGGCACCCAGTTCACCCTGCCTCACTCTCCACCCTCCCTGCGACCTCCTCAGCCGTGCCCAGGGCTGGGACTGTGGGCAAGAAGACACCTGATCCCCCCCAACCACCATGCAACCTCACTTCGAGGCCTTGACCTTCTGATGCTCTGTGGGATCCAAAAGGGCTGGGGGCACTGGCACAGTGCTATTTATGGGGAGGGGCCCAGTCAGGAAGGGAGCGCTGATCAGATGGGAGCTGTGGCCAAGTCCACCTTCTGGGAAGCCCTAGGAGAGGCCCCTGCCTCAGCCTGCCCCGGGTGTGCTGGGGCACGGGGAAACGAGGACCTCCCCCAGGTGGGGTGGTTGGGGGGACTCTTAGGAGGAAAGGCTTTTCCAGGCCTAGGAAGGCTGTCACACTTCCTACTGAGGCCAGGAGCTGCCAGGGCTGGTGCGGGATCAGGGCTGTGGGAGGAAGGCCTTCGGCACTGGCCCCTGTGCTAGGAAGGCTGCCAGGCCTGCATTGGAGCCACCCCCTGCAAGGGAGGGGTGGCCATGCCTCAGCAGGCCCCAGTGCCCCCGAAGCTGTAGAAGCTTTTCCGGGTCCAGCAAAGGGTCTGTGTCCTCTCAGTCAAACTCCTTGACATTTCCTACCCCCTCATGGGGAGGGCGCTGGGCCTGAGGCTGGCAGGACCTAGGGCCTTGCTATATTTCGTGGGTCCTGGTTGCTGACCTGGCCAGCGCTATTCCGGGCAGGGAGGGAAAGGGGCAGGGCAGGTGGCCCGCTGAGGCCTGGTCCCCAACCACAGCGGGACCTGGCCGAGCAAGGCAAAGGACGCGGGATTGGGGGATGCGCCCACAGGCTGGAAGTTGGGAGCACCCTGGGGCAGTGCGGGGGCAGGGGTGGGGAGGGCGAGGGCTGGAGGATGAGACCCAGCCCCTCCCCACCAGCAGGATGCACACAGTGAGTGGGTGCCTCCATCACCTTCCACCTGGGACTGCGCCCACGGGGAGGACAGGGTGGAAGCTCCAAGTGGGTATGGGGACTCCCAGGGACCCCACCCCAGGCCTGTGAAGCAGGGTTCAGCCCAACACCCACCAATTCGTCCCCGATGCAGGTAGCCCTGGGAGCATCTGCCCCTGCTGCAAATGGAGCCGTTGGGGGCATGAGACCTTTTGGTGCCAGCGGTCACGCTGCACCTGAGGCCCCCACCTGACCAGTGCTCCCAGCTCTGGTGTCCTTGGAGGAGCCCTTCAAGCCATCCCGAATGGGCAGGATGGTGACACGTCCATGCGGTGGGACTGCCCCGGCCCCAAAGTGTGGCCCTGGTCAGGGGAGCCCCTGCTGGGAACTGCATCTCCAGAGCTTTCATGCAGGACCCCTGGGGGCTCGGGGAGTGAGAGGCTCCACCCCAGGATCTCCTTGCAGTGAGTCTATGTGCAGGCCTGCCTTCTGCTCCTGGGGCTGGGGCTGATGGTCCAGCCTCAGTCTCCTGAGGACAGGAGGGGTCAGAATCTTGCTTAGGGCACACCCAGCTCCTGTTGGAGAAGGGAAGTGCTGGTCTCCTGCGAAGGGGCCTTGGGTGGGAATGGGCCCGGAGTGGGAGGAACGTGACTCCCCAGAGGGAAGATAGGCATCATACTGGGCCAACAGCTGGGAAGAAGTTGCTGCAGCACAGAGTGGGCCTGGACTCCCCTCGCCCCTACCCCCAGTGGTTGTGGCTGTAGCACTGAGCCTGGAGAGCGGGCCCGGCCCGGGGTGGCTGGGAGGCTGCCAGGTGCCTCCCAGAGCTCCCAAGGGCCCCCACCTGCAAGTGCCAGCCTCAGAGCAGTGCCCAGATGAGGCCCTCTCAGCTGCAGCCAGCGAGGCCCTGGGATGCTCCCTGGGAGGGAGGCGGCTTTGGGCTCCTAAGTCTGTGGGAGAGGCTGGGAGCAGTCACTGCGTGCCTTGCGCAAGCCCATTGTCGGTCGGGTGGTTTCCTCAGCTGGGCTGGGAGGGGCTCCAGGATCAGGTCCTCCCTGTCTTGCTTCTCAGTGGGGTGATGGGGAGGAGACCTGGCCACCCGGTGCTCAGGGGCAGCTGAGAACAAGGACCTGCTGGAGCTGGAAGTGCCGTGGTGTTGAGGGGTGGGGTGGGCAGCTTCTCACGCCTGCCTCCTGCCTCCACCTGTCTACCATTCCCCCACCCTGACTTGTCCCAGCCCAATGCTGACAGCACTGCCCCCAGCCCCATACATGGTTCTGCCTGGCTGGCCTGCCCTTGGTACCTGGCATAGAACACACAGAAGGCACTCGGCTAATGCTGGCCAGGCCCACTCATGGGGAGTGCACGGCTGTGCAGCACCAGGGAACCGGGACAGCAGCGCCGGCAGAAATCACAGCGGTAAACTCGTCCCGGTTGTAAGCATCAAGGTGGCAATGGACATGGGTCCCCCCACTGCACTGTGGCCCTGAGCACTGTATAGCAGCCCTGCAATGGGAGCCATTATCTTGTCCCTTTGACAGAGGAGGAAACTAAGGCACAGGGAGGTGAAGTAGCTGCCCCCAGTAGTGCCTCCTCGCTTACTCACCACCCCCTGTACCACAGTGCAGCCGCTTCTCCCACCAGCTGGGGTTCCTTGGGCCCCCAAGCCTGGGAAGGGGGAGGTGAGTTTACAAAGTGGAGAACTTAAAAGGAGAAAAGCGGAACCAGAGGTTTGAGAAGCCCTGAGTGGTAGAGTAAGGCCTCCAGCGCTGCCTCTGGGTGCAGGGCAGAGTGGCACAGTGAAGGGGGAGAGGCACGGGGCACCGTGGGGGCCCAATTCCTACTTTGGGGATCTCTCTGACAGAGCCGAGGGTCCCCTTCGTGGGGGTAGATGCCCAGGGCTAGCCGTTCCCACTGTCTGTGTGGACCTGAGTCCTGGACATTCCCGAGTGACTCAAGAGCGGCTGCTTGGGCAGGCTCGGGCACCCCAGGATGTTATACATTCTGGGAACTGGACAGGAGCGGCTGCTTGGGCGGGCTCGGGCACCCCAGGATGTTATACATTCTGGG